CCCAAAGCAGATGCTATTTTTGGACCATTTAACAGGTGATGGGACAAAGACCCAGATACACAAATGGCCTGTGGTCACAGAGCTACTAAGTGACGCAGCAGGGATTTGACCCAGGCAGTCTGCCCTCGAGGCCATGCCCTTAACCACTGCCCAGCACAAGTGCACACCTGTGCCCTCATTCAGATGCGGGTCCAAGCGCTCCCCTGCCATGCTCTTCACATTTTGGCTCTTTCCCAGGAAGCCTCCCTGAGCTGATTTCCACCAAGAAAATCCATGCTTTAGCCCCTGGATGCTGGCAGGCATCAGGCATCAGGCCAAACCCAGTGGCAGTGAGCTTGCAGCGGCCACATCCGTGGGAAGATGGTCAGTGGCTGCCAATGCCCCAGCACAGCTCATCTCTGCATCTACCCTTAGAGGCGGGTGCCCAGCCCCAGCCAGCAAGTGGCCAGGCTGTTTTCCTTTCCTTCGGGTAGGAAAGCGTCAGGGGTGACTAAGCCCTGAGTACCGAGTTCCCGGCCTCACTCCTCCAGCTGGGTGGGGCACTTCAGGACGGGACTCAGATGCATCCCTCAGCCGCCACCTGCACAGTGACCTCCAGGGTTGCTCCTCCAGCCCCACTGCTCCTGCTCACGGGGATGGAAGGTGGGCGGGCTGCAGGGGTCCCAGCTGCCCACCTGCCCCGCAGCACCTTCCACGGCCTCTGGCTTGGCTTCCCCGCCACAGCACCAGAAGCCAGGTACGCACCTGATTAAGCTTCAAACAGCGACACACCCAGAAGGGGAGGGAGGAGGGGGTGGTGGGGTGTGTGTGTGGAGGTCCTCTGATCTGGGATCCACTCCCAAGGAGTGAGGGCAGCTCCTGGCCTCCTTTGATTGGCTGCTGTGAGTCTGCAAGACACATGGGTCTGCCGTGGCTGGGGCCAAGGGCAGGCGGGAGCTGTCCTCCCAGGGCGCTGCCCCGCTGAGGGCCAGGCCGACGGCACACCTGGTCTGGCCGGCAGGGAAGCTCAGAAAGCCTGCGGGAGAGTGCGTGGACTCTCACTCAGAGGGGCTTGGAGAGCTTCGGAACTCCTCAGGAGTGTGCAGGGTGGGAGGCCCAGGAAGACCTGCGGCTCTTCCCGGGGGCAAGTCCTGTGGTCCCAGGAAGACAGCCTCTCTCAAGTGGCTTTAAGATACCAGTCTGGGTGCTGGGAGCTGCTTGGTGACTACTCCTGGGGATGAGCTGGGGACTGGACGGGCTGCTGTTGGCTCTCCTGGGACAGTTCCGGGCCCGGGGAGGGCGCCCACACAGAAGCGCCTGATGCCAGAGGAAACCAGAACCAGAGAGGGAAGGGTCTGCCCAAGGACACGCAAGCAGCTGGCTTTGCTTTCCGAGAAGCAAGAGCCCGGCGCTGGCAAAGCCTGCTGACCTGGGGAGAAGGCCTGAGCCGGAAGCGGGAACACCCGTGTCCTGGCTTCTGCCTGGTCACCCCATTCACGGTGAATTCTACACGACTTCCTTGCAGACAGGACGGGCCCGGGAAGGGGGCTGAGGCGCCGAAGGGACCCTTCTCAGCAGCAGTGGGACACTCCATTCTGTCACAAAGACACAACCTACCCACTGAGCACTTACCACGGGCAGGCTGCACACACACACACGCACTCACATTGACCCCTTGCACCTACCCCTGTAAGTTACTATTCCCATTTTTCAGCTGAGGGAGTGAAAACATTAATCTGCCCACATTTATGCAGCCCAGAAGTGTCAGCACTGGGACTTGCACCCGGCAGTCTGGCTCAGTGCCACCCTCCTGGCCACCACAGGAGTCCTTCTGGGGTGGGCAAGCATCCATCTGGTGCCCAGTTTGAGCCACCGTGGCCCCACCCCACCAGCAGAGCCCTGAGAGCTGCTGTCAGGACGTACACGCCCTTCGGCCCACAGGAGGCTGAAATCTGGAGAAGGTCGGGTAGTTTACAAATGTCAGATCTGAAGGTACCTTAGATGTCAACAGCCTCAGGGATCCTAAACCAACATAATTGGTACACAGCACTTCTAACATTTCTACCATTTTTGAGTGCCATTTGTACTGTTTTATTAATATTTTTCTTCACATATACTTCCTTCCCTCCTACTTATCCTCAATGTTAATAACATCCATGCAATCATGGAGTTTATGTGCTAGTCACATTTTTTCTAATACTCACTGAGATAATTACCTAACTGCTAGAATAAAACGTCATCTTCTAGGTACCACCTAAAACCACCTTCACGTGTGACCTGCGCTTTGGGAAGCAAAGGGCTGAGTTAATGTTCTCACTACCCACCTGGAGAAGCTGAGGCCCAGAGAGTCTTGGTGCTCCAGGTCACGGCAGCAGAGCCCAGGCAGGCCCAGGGCTCATGACTCCCGGCCAGAGGCAGTAACCCAAGGAGCCCAGGGCCTTCAGTGCCGGCCTGGCCCTGGCCCTGGCTCAGAGTGAGCCTCCACGCCTGGGAGCTCAGAGCTCAGGGCACCACTGACTGGTCAGCCCCCTGGGCAATAGCAGCGTCTGGGAGAAGGGAAGGGGTGGTCAGAACAGGCGAGGCCGAAGGGGAGGCAGGGGCCCAGAAGCCAAGCAAAGAATTTCAGGAAGGAGGGAGAAGATCAGGGCAAGAAATGCAGCCGAGGGGCCAGAAAGGCTGGCGATCAGTCACCAGTGCCGGGCCACCAGAGGCCCGGGTGAAGGACAGAAGCGGAAGGTCAGTAGGAGACCCTGCTGCAGCTGGAGGGCGCTCGTGCAGGGCGGTCAGGGAAGAGGCTGAGGCTGAAGAGATGATTTAGGTACCGGGGACAAGGGGATGGTGGGTTGGCTTTGAACAGGAGGGACCTGCTCCCCCAGAGCCCATTACAAAGGAGGTGAAGGTAAGTACGAAGAGAAGTTTGCAGACGGGGTAAGGAAGCTGAATGATCTCATCTACTGGCCTTGATTTCCTTGAAGTTGTAAGCCAAGATTTTCTAGAGTGGAGGGAACAGGAAATGCAGGAAGACTGCCTGGTGACAGCTAGAATGGGCACAAGAAAGGACTGATGCCAAAGGATGGATGGCTCCCACGACATGGGCTGGGGCTGGGGTGGAAACTCCGGTGGAAACTCCGGTGGACAGGCTCGGTCTCCAGTAAGCGGAGCTGAGCCGTCCAGGGACGGGCAGAGAAGGCAGGCTGGGTATAGACCCACGGCTGGGGTTCTGCAGGCAGGCGGGTAAGGGTGGATGCGAGAGTACAGGGGGCAGAGCTGGCCAAGTGACAGGAGGAAGAGGTCATTAGGAAGTGTGCGGCCTCTCCCCATTCCCTGCGGGGCATTTCCCCTTGAGCCCCAGGGGGCTGAGGGCCAGCCTCAAATGTGTAACCCCCGTCTCACGCTCTGGCCCCAGGGCCAAACCCATTTTTCCCACGTGGGACAATCCATTGTGGAACAGCAGGCCTGGTGGGCTGGATGTGAGGCGAACAGGATTTCTGAGCCCGATGATGCTAAAATGCGTCTCACATCATACAAGACAGGGTGAAGACCGCCACTTCTGATCTTCCCTGTATCGACCGCAGGGGTCCTAGTCTGTGATCCAAGCGATTTGTAAAGCAGAAACCTCTTCTGGGCTTGCTTTTCTTTCTTCATTCATAGAAAGATGAGGTATATTCTGGAGTAGTCATCTAAAAATCAATTTTTTTTGCATGTAAGTGAAGTGTATTTAGATGTTTGGTCACTAGTTGAGTCCTTACAGAAAGTGCGGTCATTCCTAATCTTTGTATTATTTTTATGTTCATACACTGGGCTTAATTATTTATGGCTAGTGACAGCCATATTCAGGTCAATTCCTTAAACCTACCAGTGACCAGCTGGATCTTCTGCAGAATATAACCAAGTCTCAGAGAAACAGAGAACTCTCCCAGGTGGTGCAGGTTTCAGGAGAGACCCAGCAATGTCAGACACCAACTTCTGGACTGGTTATTCTTGATAGGTTGACACACCCTTCCGCCCACCTTTGGAAACCCCGATTTTGTCTGCGTCTTGCAGGAGGACCATTTCTATGGTAGAGGAAAACAATGGTCACAGAGGCTTCCAAATTAGCCACCACAGGCGCTGTGTACATGCTGGCAACAAAGGGGGCGGGAATGTAATCGCCACAGGTCCCCGTACCCCGGCCTCAAATTTGCAGCATGTGTCCCCGGGTCGACTGCAGCACAGACTCCTTGCTGGCTAAGTACATTTGCTCAGGATCCTGCCGTCTACCTGTCACTGGGCCCTTACTGGCTTCCAGTGCCAACCTCTCCCAGAAGCCCCATCTGCACGCGGCCCCCTCCTGGCCCTTTAGATACTTGCACTTGGCCCTGACCTGTGGCGAATGTTTGCAAACCAAAATCCGCACCTTATGGGGTGCTCTTGGCCCCCGGCCCTCACCAAGACCCCAGAGTGTGACTGAATACCAAGGTGCCCAGTACCTGTTCTTATGGACCACCCAGGGACAGAAACTTCCATCAGATCCGACCGACAGAGGTGACGGCACTGGGCTCCCCCTGGGTCCCCCTGAAGCCGCTCACACTTCCTCTCTCTGGGCGGCTGTCGCCTCGCTGCCCCCACCCCTCTGAATACCTGCTGGTTTTCACGTGGGAAACTCAGAGGTTTTGTGTTGAGTGCCATTCACTGTAGCTGTGAGACACTCTCAGCAGGCACTACTCCCAGTTTTAGGGGCTCTCCCACAAACATGGACCACCAGTGAAATCTCAGGGTAACCCCAAGGCCAGTCCCCTTGGACTTCCGTGCAGTGAGTGAGCTTGGGAGAAGCAGCCCCCACCCCCAAGGCTCTTCCCTGCCAGGTGACTGGGCCTCCCCTTGGACCCTTGGGCTCTGCCACAGCCACCAGGCAGCACAGGCATTGCCCTTCACCCCTACCTGTCAGAGACGGTGCTCTCTCCTGCCTCTGGCACACAGCATTTTCCAAGTCACGTGTGAGACTCTCTCTTAGCTCTCTAAATCTCTTGGAATCCAAAGAGTGAATTTAAGACAATTTAAAGACAATTTAATGACAGCATCCTTAAGACAACTGAAGGACAGACGTGTCTCCCATGCAGTAGAACAATGACTGAGGGATAAGTGGCGATCTGAGGCCGGGAGGCCAGGTGCGCAGGACAGTAGCTCAGCCTCTTGGTCGCATGGTCCCACCAAGGGTCCGGCTCAGCAGTCGGGCTGCCTGGGCCCCTCGGATGGGAGGGAGGGAGGGAGGGGCCGGGCAGCAGGGTCAGCGGGGCGCGTGAACACTGCCATGTCAGCGGAGGAGTCCTCGTAGGAGAGGGGGGTGCGGGCAAGTGCCCAGGTACTGAGGACCGCGGCGGGGCCCGGGGGCACCAGCTCTCCCACCAGGGCCATCCTGGGGCTGGCACCAGGCCGGGCTGGGGCTGGTACCGGGGTTGAGGAAGGCGGCCGTGACAACCAGCCAAGCCGACGCTGGGCCAGGCTTCCTCCCACTGAGCTCCCCGTCCCCAAGGCCGGCGGCTGGACGGGAGGCACAGGCGGAGCACGGAGAGGCAGACCCGTCTGAGCCTGAGGCCCCCTGAGACGTCTCCATCCCCTTCCGGCCTGGCAGCCCTCCCTGGGCCCGAAGCCCTGAGCAGGCAAACTGGAGATCGGGACCCCGTCACTCTGCCCGAATTAGATCAGCTGCGAACATTTCTAAAGAGGGAGGAGGGGGGAAAATGCCACGGGCTTTTAAAGGGAGCCCCCAGGAAGGGAGGCGCAGAGGGTGGGCTGGCCCCTGGCTGCTGGCAGCTGGGGCCGCGGGTCCCTGCCATGCGCACAGCCGCCTAGCTGAGCATCTTGTGCCGATCGAAGACGGTCTTCCTCTGCTCCTGAACCTGCAGCTTCCAGCGCTGCTGGGCGCCCTCCACTCGCTCCAGGACGGTGTTGGCACGCGGTCCCCCCAGCGGGGCGGCGGCAGCGGCGGCCGCAGAGCGAGCATCCTGAGTGGGCACAGAAAGGAGACACGTAGCACTGGGAGCAGAGGGGTCTCAGAAGCCCAGGGGCGATCCCAAAGCTGGAACTTCCCCGGGGCAGGGGGCCAGACCGTCTCAAGGGCCTCGCCTTGTCACCCGCGGGCCGCTGTGCAGGGGGTGGGCCCTGCCCCTCCCTGGGGCCTGGGAAAGGGGGGCTCTAGGGCAGCACGACCTGGGCCCTCACTACAACGCAGCTAGCTCAAGCCAGGTCCCTGGCTGCACACCACAGGCCTGTTTCTAACCCTCCAGAGGGAGGCTGAGGTTGGCCTCAGGACCACGCCTGCTCTGCACAGAGGACGGGGTGATGCCCGCCATTTGGGGAACTGCATCAGCACCCCGCTGGCACTGGGAACCCCCTGCCCTGCCTGCCACTGCCCATGAACAGGAGGGCCCGGGTCTAGGGCCTGCAGCCCTGAGGTGGGAGACTCCCGATCCCAGTGAGGAGCCCCCACGGACAGAGACCCACAGGATCTGCCCTGAGGGATGCACGACACAAGCTTGCTCCCCCTGATAAGAAGGGGATGCACCATCACTCAGACCGGCAGGGAGGGAATCTGGAGCCCACGCTGGCCCGTCCCCTCCTGTGCCAGGTGGGGACAGCTCAGCTCCTTCCCTGTGGCCCCCACGGATCCCTTTCCCCTTGCTTTCAGAACGGTTTCTGTTGTCAAAGGCAGCCTCTTCTGCTAAGACCACTTCTCTGCCTCTGAGGCTCTGGAGCGCATGCATTTCCTGCAGAACCCAAACCTGATCTTTGAGGGGAATTAGAGCCGTGGGGCCAGGCCCACACCCACATGGGGATTTCCTCCCTAGCTCTCTCTGCCTGTCATCTCCTGCCACATCTCTTAGGGGATCAGCACGCCTCTAAGCCCAGACCCGCCCTGTAAACGAAACTTTGCTTCTGATGCTTCTGATGCCCGCAGCTGGCATGGCTTCTGTCGCCATGCAGCTGCCAGGCTGGGGACAGGAAGGGGCAGTTAGGTGAGGGCAGGGGAGGCAGACAGCGAGCTGGCGGATGCAGAGAGGTGGCTGCCTAGAGGTGAGGTTGGGAGGTAGCTCAGCGTTGCTGCAGAGCTCTGAGCACTGCCCAAGGAGAGTCAGGGAGGGACACTGCCCCTGGATGCCCTGGGTCTGGGACCATGAGGAAGTCTCCCTCTGCCAGGCAGGGGCGTGTAGTGCCAACACCCGGGAGGCAGGTGCTGGCAGGATCAGGCAGGGGTGAACTGGGCTCGGGGTCAGGACTGGATCCTACGCCTGGGCTTCGAGGGGCCGCCTTCTCCTTAGGCCCCCTGGGCCCCTCTGGGAGGTGGGCAGTGGGAGCTGGGAAGGAGGGACTCAGGCACTTAGCCACTGTGTGCTCCTGGGCAAGCGACTCTGTTTCTCCAAGCTTCAATTTCAAAAAGCTGGTCTTTCCAGACTTCTTTGACTATACTGTCAATAGGAGTTACATTTACATGATAATCTGGCGCACATGCACACACACATATACATGCATGATAAAAAAATTTCACAAAATATTTAGTCTGATGCATTCTGATATTCTCTGCACTGCTTCATTTTTTAAAATGCTGGTCAATTTAGATTTCGTGACCTCAAGGATTGTAACCCTACACTTGGAAAAACATGGCTTATGATTAGGAGATAGGTATGGTCAGTTTAAATAAAACACGTGAAGTCAGTACACTGCCTGTCACAGCGCGGGAGCTCACGGTAAGTTCAGTTGCCGTTTTCCCTAGCAGTTCAGCACAGTGGTTATGAACACTTTGGAATCAAGCAAACTTGGCTTTGAATCCTGGCTCTGACACCTACATATCGTCATGTTAGTGGTCCTGCTGGGCTCCTGTCAGTGTCCAAGGGCTACCCCCTCTCCCAGCTTCCCCTCTGCCTCTGAGGAAAGGGGGTCAGCAATGGAGGAATTTCTCCTGCCCCCAGCGGCCATCCTGCCACAAAGCAGGCTGGGCTATGGCTCCTCGCAAGTCAGCAACTTCTCTGAATGCATCTCCCCCCTCCCATCAGATGCAGACAGACATGCTAGATGCTTCTTAATGAGACAGTGAATGTAAAGCCTTCAGCAGCACCTGCCGGCAGCACTCCCCTGACATAGCACCTACAAGTATCAGCCCAGCCCAGGTGGGCTGGGGAGAAGGCTGGCAGCCTGCTGCCTCTGAAAAGCCACCCTGGTGTGACATCCATGTAACTCCGTTCCTTCCGGGCTCAGCTTTCCAACTGAGCGCTCCCTGGTGCCAAGGACAAGCCTCCGTGGGGCCAGCTCGGTGGGGTGGACACTGAAGACCACCCAGGAAGTTGCAGGCCCACCAGGACCTAGCCATCCTAGCCCGGGGCCCGGGGAGCTTCTGTCCCTCCCACTCCTACTCCTGACCCTCTGGGGCCAGTGAGGAGCACGGGTGTGAGTCCAGAGGAGGGGTTGCAGGGCCGGCTTCCTCCCACTGCCCCGCACCTCGGGCGGTGCGTCAAGGAGGCGAAGCCAGAGGGTGCCAAGGGTGGGCGTCGAGGGGACATGCTGACCTTCACTGCGTTACCCCAGCGTCGTTTGTCTCCCTTCATGTAAAGTCTTAACAAACAGCTCCAAAGTGGGGGAAGGCAGCTGTGGCTAAGAGGCCTGTGTCTCCACTGCTAACAGTCTGATCAAAGGTATTAAAACCCCCACATCTGCTGTAGGGCTGCCCCTGAGGGGCCTCATCCCCGCCTGCTCTGTGGCAGGATCGCCGCTGGGGGCAGGAGAAATTCCTCCGTGCTGACCCCTTCCCTCTGAGGCTGGGTGGCCAGGCAAACCCAGGAGGCAGAGGGAGGCAGGAGAGGGGGCAGCACCTGGATACTGACCAGTGGCCGGCGGGACCACAGCAGCATGACAATGACAGGTGACAGGTGTCACCACGCCAGGCGCTCTGCTGGCACAGGGCCGTTCCCAAGCTCATGAGGTCGGCGTCTCACCCACAGATAAGGAAACTGAGGCTACGGAGGACCAATCACTTTGCTGCTCAAGGCCACTCGGCGGATGGGTGGCTGGGCAGGACTTGAAACCACACCTGTGTATCTCTCACCCCAGAACTCTGCTGGGTCCTTCTTTGGCTGGCTCCTCCTAAGAAGAAGCCAACATGGAAAAGCAAAGAAGCAGGCCAGTTCCTTTCCCAAGATCAAGCAAGAACAAAGCTCCTGTCAAGGAGCCAGGAAGTGGGACTTCAGGCCGGCCAACCCCTCCTCTCCAGCCCTGGGAGGCCCCTAACATTCCTATGCACAGCCAGAGCTGACAGACTAGCCCTGGGCCCTTCCCACAAGCCGAAGCTCATCAGCCTGCCCAGAGGCTGGTTCCGAGTCAGCAGCAGACAGGGCGCAGGCCTCTCCAAGGACAAGACGCAGGACAGTCCCCACGGGGGAGGTGCCTTCCCGGCTGATCCTGGCAGTGGGAACAGGGGATAGCAGGCCTGTCGCTGGCCCCCTCGCACAGCTAGGAACGGCCCCAGTACAGCCTCCCTCGGCGTTTCCAGTCTGACCCAAATCCTTCCCCTGTAGCCAAGTCCCACTGCCATCTGCTGCAGGCCCCGCCTGACTCCCACCGGCTGCTGTCCAGTCATCGTCCCACGGCACTGGCTCAGAATGCTGCCTGGGGGCCCAGCTGCTTACAGATGAAATGCCCCTGAGCCCAGCAGTCAAGGCCCCTGCGCTGCAGCCTTGCCCCCTGCCACCTCCCAGCACACAGAACACCATCTAAGTGTTAAGACCTCATTCTTAAGGATGAACGAACATGAGTGAAGCAGGCACTCACATACCCCAAGTTATGCCAGGGTCAGGACTATGCCCATTCCAGATTTAGCAAATCAAAACCAGAGGTCAGGTGCCAGACAGTAAGTGGCAGAGCTGGTCCCGAACCCACACTCCCAACCGGGGTGTGGGAAGCACCTGAGGGCAACTCTGGGTACATCTGCTCAATCACACACGTCCCCATTCCAGCCTCAGAGGAGGGGAGGGAAGCGGCTCCAAGCCTGCCAGAGCCTCCCAGGGCCGGGGCCTCACACCCAGTGCCACCGCACATCCCCTGGACGGGAAGGGAGCTGCTGAGGCCCAGAGCCTTCGCTTCCCCCCGCCCCGCACGCTCCCGGCTGCACCCTCACCTCTCCGTGATGCCCTCACGCCCCCCGCCCCCAGGGAGCCTAGAGCTGCACCACACCAGGTGGGCTGTGACCTCTGAGGGCCCGTCAGAGCTCAGGGGTGCCATGCCGTGAGTGGCAGTGCATCCTGCAGCCTCACGGAGACCCTGCTGCTCCCTCTTCAAAGAGCACCAAGGCTGTGCATCCAAAACAGCTCTGGTCGCCGTTTGTCCTCCTTGCAAGGACGTCTGAGCCCCAGATCAGGCCTGATGCGATGCCGCTGGAACCCGGGGGGGTGCGGGTCCCTGCCATCAGGGCCGACCAGGCACCCGGCACTTTCAGAGGGGACACGGCAGCTTTCATCTCCCTCCGGGTGCGGGCGGCTGGGGAGGCCTCGCCTCCATTTTCCAGCCCTCCTGCCCCAGAGCTTTGGGAATGGCGGGGATGAAGCCAAAGGCCCCCGATCCCAGGAAGGGGTCTGACCTCCAGCCCTCACCGCTGACTGGGTCTTGGGGCAGACAGGGTAGGGGGGGCAGGCCTGGAGCATCGACAGTCTCCTGCTCGAGGTCAGAGCTGTGCAGGCCTAGGCCAACTGCAGGGAGCCTGCGAGGTCTTGGTCCAACTTTCTTCCTCTTGGGGTGAAAGCTGAATCCCTCACCCCAGCGGAGGCCCCACCCTTCCAGCTTCCCTTCAAAGGGAAATGTTTTCTAGGCCACTAGTGAGCCCAGAAACACAGCCTCAGCCCAGCTCTGCCCCAGTCAGCCAGGCAGCCCTGGGACCTGTGTTCCTTGTGCACCGAGGGGTCGGTCAGTAGAGGGCCCCTCACCATCTGGGACTATGGTGTGGGCCCCCTGAGCCCTGGTGCCCCCACAGTGGTGAGCCACCCTCTCCCATTCACCCTCTGAGCCTCTGTAGCCAGACTAATAGGAAGAGAAGGAGTCCCCCAACCCCTGACTAGGAAAGGCTTGCTAAGTACCCACCTTTCTCCATCTGCCCATCTCCTAAAACCTGATCTTACCAATTGCCTCTATGTCTCCTGTTCATCCACCTGGTTTAGGGTCTGCCTTGGGGCTTAAAGCCCTGAGGGCACAGAGCCACCTGCAGGACAGCTGGGTGCAGGGCGGGGGCAGACAAAGGCCATTCTGGGCTGCTGAACCCCAGAAGAGATGAGCAGGGAGCACCTGGGAGGGGGACACCATATGGAATAGGACAGGGAGAGGCCATGCCAAGGAATGGGGCTGGGGGCCAGCCCAGCTCAGGGGCTGGGCAGTGGGAGCAGGCATTCCCTCTACCCCCTCAGGGCAACATAACTCCATCCTGCCCCAGCCCCGCATCTGCGTAGAGCCCACGGCACCTGAGGGCGGGGAAACAGACGGAACACAGTTTTGTTACTTCCGAGCCCTCGGGGTGAGAGGTGAGAGGCTGTCACCCACCCACCCTCTCTCCCAGGATAGCACCTCCTCTAGAGCACGTAGTGCAGGCTTGCTGGCTCGGCCTGAGAGCTGTCCAGGGCAGCCACTGTTCTCCAGGCAGCAGAGGCAGGACTGGAGAGCAGCCCTCACTGCACAATCATTCCTCCTCAGCCCAAATCTGCGCCCAGCAAGTGTCCACCCCCGACTCGGGCTCTGCTCCCAGGGGCTGGACTGACCATCCTCACCCCTCCTCCCTCCCCGAGGCCCCCCTCACACAAACAGGCAGACGGGGCTTAAGACCCAAACTAGGAAGCACTCCAGATCTCCTGGGGGCCGGGGGTCAGTGCTCAGACCCAAAGACAGTGGGCTGCCCTCCCTGGCTCAGCACGCAGGGTGGCAGGAGACACAGGGCCATGCCCGAGAGCTGTGCATTCCCGGGAAATCGCTGCATGGGCTGTGTGATTGCCAGGCCATGTCCCTCAGTTACTCCACTAGCCAGGACTGCAGTGACCACATCACCCCTAACTGCCAAGTGTTTATTAGCAGAGCTCCTCCCCTGAGCAGCTTTTACACTGATAATCGGGTAGGCACACAAGGGTACCTCCTAAACACAGACCACCCACCTGCCAGCGCCACTACCTGCCGTGCCAGCTTCCTTGGGGTGGCTCATGCCTTCAGTTCCACCTTTGGCCAAACTCGTGTAAGCCGGAGGCTGAGGCAGGTTGGGAAGGGTGCTGGCACGTACCCAGAAGCCACCCTCTAGCTCGTGCTGGCCCAGACCCACACGCCTGGCAGCTTCACGTTGAGGTCTGCGCCCCAGACCCCTTCTTGGGGGGAGCGTGCCTCTCCCACCTCCAGTCCGTGCTTGGAATGCTCTCAGCTGGGACTGCCCTTGGCAGTGACCCCAAACTCACCACCCTACAAGCAAGCCCACCCGCCCATCGTTCAGCTGCGTCACCTGCAAGAAAGCTCCTTCCTACGTGGCATTCAATCTCCCTGTTTCAGCTCCCAGCTGGGGTCCCTGGGCCCTGGTAAGGGCAAGCTCTACTCCATAAACATTTGATGCTGCTACCATGCACCTCTCTGAGTTTGGTCTGTTTTTTTTTTTTTTTAAGCTAAACACCTCCCAGGGTCTTTAACTAATTCTCCCAGGACATGGCCGAGGCCCTTCACACCACACGCCTCCTGGTACATGTACCGGCTCACTCACTCCATCCCTCACCCTACGGATAAACAGTCCAGAGCTCTCCAGCAGCAGGGCGGCCCGAAGAATAATGCTCACAGACTCCTGTGCCCACCACAACTTCCCAGAGCCCATTCTTCTGGGCAGAAAGCGGTGGTGGGGCATCACCTGCCTTCAAGCCGCCGCGGAGGCTGCTGGCTCTGCTGAGAGAGCTGCTCCGCCTCCCGTGCACACAGCCGGCTCACCACAGATCCGCCTGGGCCGGGCTGCAGGGCGTGGGCTGCCCTCGCTCCCCGGAAAAGCTCCTCATGGCGGCCCTTGCTCTGCCCACCTCACCCTGGGTCTCCCCTGCAGGGCATCCAGGACTCCCCGGTATGGGGACAAGGGGAGAGGTGAAGGACTGTCGACTGTGCTGGCCTGGCTCAGGCCCTACAGCCCCCGCGGTGTGCACACCGACGTGTTCACAGGCTGCCGAGCGTCAGCAGTTCCCCAACTTCCCCCATCTCATAAAGCTGAAACTCCACAGCCTGACATTTGACATCTTTAATGATCTGAGCTAAAGCCCCTGGCCAGCTCTATCTGCCACTATTCCCACAGGCCTACCTTATCTTTGAAATGCTCAAAACCCCGCAGGCACACGTGGCAGTTTCCCACCTCGGCACAACCACCACCCTTTGGCCTCACTGGCTCTTAAAAATCCTACTTTCTCAAGGCTCTGGGGCTGTGCTTTGCATGGAACAGGCGCAAGCAGGTCTCTGCGGGCCCACTGAGGCATCAACCTGCCACTCCAAGCCTACAGCCCACTGGACACTAACGTCTGGCGACCGAGATACCAAGTGCATCTATGTGTGGCTGACCCCGGCTGGCTAACATCGCCTCTGCCTGGAAACACAGTGGAGCAGGAGGACACGGCTCCCCAGGCCGGGACACCAGGAGAGGCCAGACATCAGGAACACTCAGGACCACCTCCTGCCTCCCCTGGGATCGCAAAGGGCAGCGCCCCCCTGGGCAGACATCTGGAGTCTGGGTGAGGAGATGGAGGGAGCGAACTGGACACGGCCGGGGACACGGATGCCCCCAAGGCCCGGCGACGCTCTGCTGGTCTTGTGCTGGGGACTCACATGCTGGGGGCCCGGGACCCTGTGGCGGGCAGAGGCACTGGCAGGGGCCTGGCACCCAGCCCGTTACCTCGTTCTCCTCCTCGTCGCGCAGCTGCTCAGTGTATGCGTCTGGCTTCCGGATCAGAGGGTCCACCAGCATGAGGAAGGCCATGTAGAGCAGGAGGGCCCCCACCACTGACAGGTAGATGACGACAATGACCTGAGGATGAGACCCAGCGCCCGTGAACCAGCGCCTGGGGGCTGGGCTGGCGAACCGCCTGTTACCATGGCATCTTCTGTCAGCAGCAGCGACGGCCTTGCGCTGCACCGAGGAGGGGGACCAGCGGGCTGGGAGGGAAAGAGCGCCAGGAAGGGTGGGGCTGGCCCTATGCCACATATCTGCCATGGTCACCCTCAGTGGAGGGGACCCCACACCACCTCGGGTCTCTGGCAGGCCCACAGACGACAGATGGTAAAGGAAGATGTCTGGATGCCCCAAGACGCCCCCGGGGGGTGGGAGCAGGGAAACGGGTCGCCTGGCTGCACCAAACGGCACAGAGCAGCTGGATGCTAAGAGAGAGCGAGGAGGCAGCGCGGGGAGAGGCCTGAAGGCAGAGGCCAGGGGGACGAACACGGCACACGCATCGGCGGGCTCGTCCCCTGCGGCCCAGGGCAGGAAGGACAGCTGGGAGGCTTGGGTTCCGAGAGGTCTCGTCATGCCACCGGGCCGTCGCAGACCCACCAGGAGGCGGGCACTGATGGCGGAGGCCGCATCCCCAGCACGGCCCACCAGCCCCCTGGAGGGAGGTGGAAGCCAGCGGCACAATGACAATTTCCCAAATCTACACACACAGAGCCTCATAAACTGAACTTCTGTTTACAGAAAAGGCAGATTCAGCGAGGCTCACCCGGCGTCTCTCAGTGTGAGTGGTCTGGGCCACCGAGGTCAGGACTCTCCACGACGCTCAGCGGCCAAGGTCCCTGTAAGGGCGCCAGGAACACACCTCAGGACTGGGCCACAGATGTACCTGCCCTTATCTCGGAACGTGCCTGGACGGCAGAATCGCCTGGTTGTGAACCACTAGGCTAAACCACCCACGTGATCCCAAGGCTAGTAAATGGTATGGACGTAACTTGAACCCAGTTACTGACTCCGTCACAAATGCTTGTATTACATCCACAACACCTGCCCGTCACTGGCCTCTGATCTGGCCCTGAAAGGACTGTGAAGAGGGGTAAAAGGAAGAGAGGACCCCCGGGAGGTCACGTTTGGTGCCCAGCTCAGTTGACAGTCAAGCTCAACTGGACAGACTGTTTCCCTGACTGACACAAGCATCCATGCCTCTGTGAACAGGGCAAATGATCAGACCTCCTGCCCAGACCCCAGGCAGCACAAGGGGAATGGAGGCTGAGTGTCTAACAGTGGGGGAGGGGGTTGGATGGAGTCTCCCAGGGAGAAGGTCCCCAAGTCAGGAAGCCCTTTCCCTGCCCAACAGAGAGAGGTAACATCTGGCTTAGAATTCAGTGTCAGGCATCCGGTTCCCCTGAGCAGGGACCTGCTGGAGCAAGTTCAGAGGGGCTGACTTGGGTGGAAGCGTGGAAGGGGTTGACACTGCAGTTGGACAGGGAGATGACCGACGGGGTGGGGGCCAGGGGGACAGTGGTGAGGTCACCTCCTGTCCAAGGGAGCCTCAAAAGGGGCAACCAGACAAAGGGCTCAGGGGTGTCATTCAACTCCCAGGAGTTCTTTCCTGATGCTATTTCCAGACTCTTCCCAGACAAGCAGAAATAAGCCTAAAAGCTGGGGCAGGAAGGGCTTATGTTAGAAATGAGTAAGCAGAGCCTGGCTCAGGAGGGACAAACCTGGACTGGGCGGCCTGGGGAGGCTCCGGTGGACACGTCCCCGCTACAGTGAGCTGGGGTCCTGTGCCAGCAGACTGGGCAAAGCCCTTGTCCTCACCCGTCCGGTGGTGGCCACATCCACCACATCTCTCCTGAATGCTCTTAACAACTACGAGAACAAGGTTCAAGGAAAAACCAAAGGAAGTGATCTGATGCCCCTCCTGCCCCCCAGAAAGCCCCCCGGGTCCACAGCTGCCTGGAGCACTTCAGAGAGTCCCACACCGCTTTGGAGGCTGATCCAGACTAGAAGCTCCAGGGAGGCAGGCCTGCCTCTCTATTAGGAGCGGCTTGCATGGTGCCCAGAACGTAAGAGGTACCCACATTTACTGAATGAGTGGAAGGAGAGAGAAGGGAAAAAACTGGAAAGAATGAGGGAGGAAAAAAGGAGCATCAAGCACCTCCCCGGTTCCCTGCCCCTGTGTGATGGGGCTCTGACAGGTGTCAGGGGACACTGGCTCCCAGAAGGTGGGGGGCGTGAGGCCTTGTGCCTGTGACTGCACCAGCCTACAGGCCAGTCCCACAGCCACTTGGGCTGTTCCGAAACAAGCAAGGCCCGAGGTGTCGGGCAGCCAAAGACGGCGGTGGGGTGCAGGGGGCGTGGGGACCGCAGTGGGGCTACCTTGATGGTGGTGGTGCTGCGCTCCTCGTACTGGCACTCGCACAGCAGGCAGTAGGCCTCCACGTCGTGGCCAGGCACTGGCATGGGCTCCACCACATGCAGGCAGTTGCTGCAACAGACAGACATGGGCGGGGGCTGGGGCAGCTGGGCCCAGGAGAGGGTGCTCTCGGGGAGGAGGGGTTAGAAAGCCCTTTCCTAGCCCCAGTCCTGCCCCTGTCCAGCTCTCCAAACTGTACCTACAGTGCCGGCACCAAAAGCATCCAAGTCCCCAGAGCTCGGCCCTCGGCTGCCTGGTCCCATGCTGTGCTTGCTCTGGGTGGGCTTCCATCCCACAGACTTTAACCTAGAAGCTGATGGGCCTCCGATCAGACTCTTGGACTAGAATCTCCTCCAGTCAGGGCCTCTCTCCTCCACTCTATGTCCGGCTGCCTGCAGGATCCACCGAGTGCGTGTCTGTAGGGACCACAATGCACAGCCAGCTGGCCGCGCCCTCTGACCCCAGCTCCCAGCCTGCAAACCCCCACCGGCTCTGAGCTCCCACTGGCAGAGAGCAGCTCTTCTGGCCGCTTCAAGCCTGGGATCCGCTGTGAATCCCCTCTCTCACCTATCAACCCACCAAAAGCCACTGCTTCTACCTTCTTAAACATTTCTAAAACCCACCATCTCCGTCCTCTCCAGCTGTAGCCCCACTGCGGCCATCCTCCCCTTTTCCTCAGACAGTGGTCCCTGCGCCCCCTGCTCTCTGCACGCTGTCTGTCCCTGTCCCAATGCTGCCTTCCCCCACAGGCAGGTGGTCTGATCCAAACGAAACTCGGGCCGTGTCTCTCCCAGCTTGAAGCTGGTCACTGCCTCCATGAGCCTCTGGGGCGAGGATGAACTACAGCTCCCCTGTGCGCCCTGGCACCTCACCCCGGGGTGCCCACCTGGCCAGCTCCATCCCTGCTGCTCCTCACCCAACTCCCTCCCACCCCCCGCTCGCCTGCGCTGATCTTCTGGACTGTTCTCTGAGTGGGCCACACTCCCTTCCTTGACACAGCTCACACCCTCTGCCAGGAAGATACGGCTTCGCCACTGAATCCTACACATTCTTCAAGACTCAGCTCAAAGGTCGCCGCTCCTATAGCAGCCGGCTTCCCCGCGCGCTTCTCTGCACAGCACTAGTGGCGCCACGCCGTCATCGTACCCTTACCTGTATGTCTCCCCCGGATGCTAAGCTCCCGGAGGACAGGGGTCAGCTCTGTGGTCCCGGTGCCTAGCACAGCGCGGATCAGAGCAGGGCTCAGGAAACAAGCAACTGCCACATGAATCACACGTTCCAAGCCCACTCAGCCCACCTTTACCTACTGGTGCTCCCAGGTCAGGTGGAATAAAGACCACAGGCCACACACTTACATGGGGAAATGGGCCAGAGTGGCAAAATGACATCCCCGTCACGGGGAGGACCCAAACCCAAACCCAAATCCTCGGCCTCAAGGTCTTCACACCTGACACTCAGCCACAGTGGGGCCTGGGCTGGAGCTCAGTTAACCGGGGACCCCGATGCCAGCCTTCCTCAGATCAGGCTTCCACAGCCCACAGAGAGTGAGCAAACAACACTGCAGGACGCGCCGTTATCACTGTCACTGGCAGAAATCAACCAAGACCTCAGAGGTTCGCACAGGCGAACCAGGCATTGCGTGCACTGGACAGCCTGGGCTGGGCTTCCCGGCTCTGCTGCTGAGTGTCCAGTGCCCTGGGCCCGTCTTCAACTCTGTGAGATGCAGGGGTTGTACCAGATGGCCTTTAAGGCCCTTCCAGCTCTCACAAGAATCCAGCAAGAGTCCAGCACAGTTTCCTGACAACAATCAGGCCAGTCGTGAGCTATCCCGGGGTCCTTAGACCCAGGCTGGGTTTCTGGCAGAAGCATCAGTGGTGTGCAATGGGAAGATAAGGGGTTGAAAAAAATTCTGTGTCCTCTAAAAGCCTGTTTCCCTTAAAAAATCCAGTAAGTGGCATATATTACGGTATGTAAACCTCTGACAACTGCAATTCCATCTCTGGGTAGCAACTTCAACACATACCCCTGCTGCACGAACAGGCCTTCCCCTGTTGGAACCAAACGCACCCCTCTCAGACCTTGCACACTGCTGCCTCTGGGGGGAGCTGACGGCCAGGCCAGGTTCCCACGAGGTGCTCGGTCATCACTCCTGGGACCTTCCCTTCTCCAGGAAGTCCTAAAAGGCCTGCTGGGGGCCAGATCCCTCCCTTTCTGAGCCACAGGGGTTCCTGGGTTTTAGAAGGTGGCTCCGGTGCTCCACTGGGTATGTGGATTCCCCGCAAGGCTGAGGCGGGGTTCCTGGGGCAGCTGGGAGGGGCCCACCTGAGTTCTTCAAACTGGGATCCCGTTACTCAGGTGGCGAGGCTGTTAGGGGAACAGTAAATAGGGAGCTGAGACATTCCGTGTCCCTGGCCCTCCTGAGTATCAGTGAAACCCGAACATGAAAACCGAACATGCTCTTCCTCTCCTGAGGATCCCCATTCACCTTTCTGGGGATCAGTCATACCAAAGACTCCAAGGACTGGCCAGAGGACATTAAGGTGGGAAGGCAAGAGAGTCAGAAAATCAAGCACTCAGAGTACCTCAGAGGCAGAGAGGCTCAAAGTTCCCAAATGCTGCTGGGGACCAACTGTATCACAATCACCCAGAAACTTAAAGAAAAGGCTGTTGCTGTCTGCCCCCCACCCCCATATTTACTATTGATTTACATATTTACTACTGCATATCTGAAAGTCGCCACGAGAGGAGATTTAAATGTTCTCACCACACACACTGAAGGTAACTGTGTGAGGTGACGGAGGCTTTAACAGTCCTCATGGTGGTAATCACCCCGCAGTATGTATGTACATCAAGCTGGCATGTCGTAGACCTTAAACTTACACAACATGACAGGTCTAATGTATCTCAATGAAGCTGTGGGGGTGGCTTGGGGGCAGGAGGTGCTGGGAATCTGTATTTTCTCAAGCCCACATGACAATCCTAATGCACAACCAAGTAGAGGCAACACTGGCCTGGACCCCACGCTGCCGGTGGGGTGTCAGTCCCTTCTCCAGCACCCTCATCCAGGAACCGCCTTCTGTGCTCAGACCCACCCAGGATGGCACTCCGCAGCGCCTGGAACAGCCTGGATCAGAAATGCTCCCTGAACTCACAAGCTCCCCTTAAAGCCGTTCCACTGGCTTCCAAAAAGCGCACCAAAATGATCCCCACGAGCCCCCCACCCACAGCATGCCGCCCCCCTCCCAGTCTTCGCCAGCCACTATGCGTCCCCAAGTCCTCTCCTCCTCAGGCCACCTTTAGTCCCTTAAACCACCCCATCCAGAACAAAGTGTCAAAGCTTCTCTTCTCAATGAATTTTTAAATTATTTCTCTTCTTTTAAAGTACGGCCTCAGAAATGAATTCCAGACTCCAGGAGTATAATTTAAATTCTCTTTCTAGGCCTCAGTCTCTGCACTTACAAAATGGGAACAGGACCTACCCCATCTACTACCTTAGTATGTGGCTATAATACCTACCTCTCCCAATTTCTCTGCTACTCTTTTATGTAAATACCTAAATCAAAGCAAAACAAGAAAATCCACTCCTCTGACCAGGAATCCCTCAGCTAGAATTCAAGACATCTGGGTCCTATTTTTAACTGGCTGTGTGCCATGGGTGAAATATTCCTTTTGTAAGGCTCTCCATCAGAATGGGAAAGCAAGCTTATCCTCCAGGGATGACACTCCTGACTAGGCGGAGCTGGCATGGGCCAGCCAGTGCAATGCCTTACCAGTCCTTCTGTGACACGTTCTGGCTGTAAATGTGCCCGCTGATATTCCTATACGGTGGGCAGATGCATTTGCACCGAATATCTTCAGAACTCTGGAAGAGAAAGCACGTATCAGGTAGGCAGAGCCCCTGAGTTCAGGTTCTAGCAAGACTCTCAACTTTCAGTTCCCTGCACCCTAGGGTGACTATATGAATGCTCTTGACTTGTCCCCACCCACAAGCCCATCCAGAAATGACTTCTGTAGGAAGGATGCTATAGGGTTACGACAGAGCCTAGTACCTTCTCAAGGCAGGGCAGGACAAGGTGACAGTCCTCCGCCCTGAGCCCACACCACTGTGTGCACCTCTGTCTAGCACTCTTGGTGGGTAGCCTCTTCCCCCCATTCCATCTCCGACTTCCCAAATTAGGACTGGGGGGAAGGAAAAGGGCAGGGGTGAATGAGAAATGTGGATCACTTCTATGGGAATAGTCAAGCAACCCTTAAAAAGTTCTTCCTCTGTGGAATGGGTAAGAGGCAGCACCACAAATATTTTCACTCCAATCAGGAATTCCCCAGAGGGAGTGGAATCAAACCCTCAGACTGTGTCTTACTTCAAAGCCTTGGTGATACCAAGTCAGAACCAAAAATTCCACATACCTACACTAACCCCGCCCTGAATCATTTACCCCTAAAGAACCTAAGTCCCAGCACTTAGACTGGTCACCCTCAATAACAAACTTCCATCTGTGTAGGACTTCACATTTAGGAGCGTGTATCACTCGATTTCCCCGAAGGGGAGCAGTAGGCATTACGACCATCCCTGTTCCACCCAGAAGCAAGGAAGGTGTACGGAAAACTTAGACGGCTTCCCCAAACAGACGCCCTTGTGGGAATCCTACCGGGGGGGTGTCTGATCCAGAACCTGGGCCCTGGGCCTCACCCCTCTCCCCTCACTCTACCTTGATGGAGGTCTGCACCAGAGGGAAACACCTGGCCTACCGGTGAGGGGCAGGGTGGAAAAGCACCTGCGTCTGGGGAAGCACTGTCTGCACGCAGGGTGGTCGTGCACCCGGAGCGGCCGGCTCACCTCCCTCACCTTGTTGCCTTGTGCTGGGGGAACCAGCAAACACCCCACAACGGCCACCAAACACAGGAGCTTCATGCTTACAGGTCCTGGGGAGCCAGCAAGACCAGACACCTGGAAAAGAGATATTACGTCGGGGAACGTAAGTGGCCACACCATAGCCAGCACTCTCGGCCCCTTAGCCCTCTCTTCTCTCCCGGACACGGGAATGGCTCCAAGATTCCCGGGCCTCCTAAACCCGCTCGCCAAATGCTGCTTTCCTTCTCCCCGGTCTCCAGCTCTCCACTGCCCACCTGGAGCGCCCGGGAGAGGGGCCTCCGGGGGCGCCGCCGCGGCCGCCGGGGGCCAGGAGATCCTCCGACAAGGCCCAGCTCAGACGCCCGCGTGGAGCCGCACAGCCCTCCAGCAGCTCCCGCCCGCTCGGGCCCAACGAGAACTCTGCGTGCAGAGTTTGGGGGTCCTGATCCGACGGCCTAGGCCAGGGCCCACCGCACCCAGGGCCCCAGGGGCCTCGCGCCGCTCCCCAAACGCCCAGTCCGCTAACCTGCAAGCCCCGCCGCAGCAGCGCAGGACCCATCTGGCACCGCCCCCTCCCGGCTTCTATTGGCTGCCGGAGCAGCCTCTCGGCCCAGTCTCGCTATCGCCATGGTAACAAGGCCCACCTTCGCTGGGGCGTGGAAACTCCAGCGCAAGGGAGAGGGACACATTTCTCCAACCTGACCAAACAAGAAAAGGGAGCGTCAGCCTTCCGGGCTAGAAACCGGGAAGGGTCTTAACTTTGTGCGGCCGATAAAACTCCTATGCAGTGCTTCGCCCCTCCTGATGGTGTAAGACTCAGGGTTTTGTAGAGCGCTGAGCTTGTTCCATCTTGATGTTTTAAAGGGAAACAGCTTTATAAACAGTAAGCGAGTAATAACAATAACGATAAAAAGATTAAAGGGCTTTGTCCTGACAACCTGGAAATGTGATTTAGGGACCCGCTTCTTTGCTGCACAGGACTTTAGCTGACCCCACCCCACCAAACACCTCCACACCCCTGAGGAGGAGGAAATCGGGGGTGGCGGTGGGACGGTCGGCTGGCTGGGGCAGGGCGTGCGCTCAGCCCCGCAGCCTCGCGCTGGCAGATTGGGGCAAGGTGTGCAAGGCCAGTCGGGGTGCGGGGGAACCCCAGGCTGCTGAGGGACAGTTGTGAACTTCTTGCCAGCTGGGAGGGACAGAGGAGCCACCTGAGGCTAGGGTATCAGACCAGAGTGAGGACCCGTGGGCTTCGCACCTGGCTCTGCCGCTGAGCATCCGTGTCACCCCGGAAAAGACACCTCCCTCTCTGGGCCTGTTTCCTTACCTTTAAAATTAGCTGGTTGCACGCTACGATCCCTTTCGACTTCGGTATGTTGGGTTTCTTGGGGAGGGGGGGTGCCTGATGTGGTCCGCACTTGAGGCTGGTGCTGGAACCAGCAGGTGGGCTGGGCGCAGGCACCATGACTGAGGCAGGCACTCGGTGCGGAAACAGTTGGGTGTGTTTGTCCTCCTACTTCCTCCTCTGGTATCCTCACCACCTGGCGGAGCTCCCTCCACTTGATGGGCGCTCAGGAGATGCCACTGACCGGAATTGAGTAGAATTGAAATACACCTAGAGGGGAGCAGGCAGGAGGCTGGCATGACTGGGCCTGAATCCTGATTTCTCCCTTCACAGTTATAAGAATTTGAGTGGTTGGCTTGTCCTTTGAAGGCACTTGTTTCCACGTCCATAAAATGGTAATAGTATTACCTACCTTTTGGAGCTGTTGTATAATGAGTCTCTACGCATCTGGAACAGTGGCTGCCACAAAGGCAGGGAGGGGTCTATACATGGAAATATCAATTCGTTCTGGAGGTCGGAATAGAATGTCTGCTTTGGAGAGCAGGCAGGGGCAGAGAGAGGATGCCTGCCCCATGGGGAAGGACTGGCAGTTTCAGGCACTGGACAACGCCCTCATTCCCAGTGCACCTCATACATGGACAGGGGAACTTCATGGGGACAAAAGCATGGGGCTGAGTCTCAGTTACCTCCAAAGTATGAACCCCTGACCCCAGCTACAGGCACCCAATGAGAAGCTCCCGTCTCCTGTCAAATGGAAGCGATGCCTCTCCTCTCAGTTTCCTCACCACACCGACATCCTGCATTTTTCAGGCCCCAGACTGTGGTGTCAGATATGTGGTGTCAGATTCTGCTTTCTCCTGTCACCACAGCTAGTCTACCTACATGTCCCAAGGGACAGCTGTCCTTGCCAGCCTGCATCCTGCCTCAGTAGCCCTCTGCTCCCTGAAATGCACTCCCTTTGTCCACCTGTTTCCATCCTATCTGCCTCCAATCCTGTATTCTGCACATTGCTTATTGCTCAGTAATCCTGGTAGCACCGGTCACATCAAACCCAGACCCTTCTGCCTGGCATCCAAGCCCTGGTGGCCATTTCTGCCCTCTCCCACCCCACCTCTTCTCTGGTTCCTGCCCACCTACTCTCCTGGATTGCTCATACAGTCCTCCCATAGGATGCCATCAGCCCCTCCACCCTGCCCATCCTTAACCTTCTTCTCTTTCAAACCTCTGCCCCCAAACACATCTCTTCCAGAAACGTATTCAAGGAGCCCTACCTGACCCAGGGCACCTCGCTGCCACACATCCTCCACGTGCCCTGTGTTTAAGAGCCAGGGCATTGAGATGAGCTGGAACCTCTTTATTCAGTTCAGTTCCACAAATACATGCCTCCCACCGTCCAGATGCTGCAGAGCACACAGGACAAGCCGCGTGTGAGCCCTGCTCTGTACAGGCACACCTCATTTCAATGAGCCTTTATTGTGCATCACAGATACTGCACTTTCTTTTTTTCTTACAAATTGAAGGTTTGTGGTTTGTGGTTTGTGGCAACTCTGTGTGTCCAGCAAGTCTGCTGGCACCGTTTTTCCAACAGCGTTTGCTCACTTCATGTCGCTGTGTCACCATTTTGATAACTCTTGCAATAGTTCAGATTTTTCATTATTATCATTATATTTGTTATGGTAACCAGTGACCTGATGTTACTACTGTAGCTGGTTTGGGGTCCCACAAGCTGCACCCACACAATAGCTCAAACTTAATCTCTGAATGGTGTGTGTGCTCTCACTGCTCCACCGCCGGCTGCTCCGGCCTCTCCCCCTCTCTGGGGGCCTCCCTGCTCCCCGAGACACACCCGCAGCTGTGTGGAAACAGCAGGAGAACTGAGGTTAGAAGTGGAGCCTGGGGCTGTGACTGAATTACTGCAGCGTCCTGATCAAACTGCAGTGGATGAGCTGTAGCTTCTTACGGATGAACAAACAACGTGGCTTTTGAGATGAAACCTACTCCTGGCGAAGATGCTGTGAAGATAGCTGACACCCAAGGATTTAGACTGTTTCATAAATCGGGATGATAGGGCAGCAGCAGGGTGTGAGAACGCTGACTCCCGTTCTGGAAGAAGCCCTGCCGTGGGCAATAACGCTATCAAAGAGCATCGCTGCTACAGAGAAATTCTCCGTGAAGAGTCCATGGCTGCAGCAAACTTCGTTGTCTTATTTTAAGAAATTGCTGCAGTCACCCCAGACTTCAGCAATCCCCACCCTGAGCAGTAGAGGCAAGACCCTTCACTGCCACCAGCATAAAGGTGACGTGCTGAGAGCTTGCTTAGATGATGGTTAGCTTCTTTTAGCAGCAAGTATTTTTAAATTAAGGTGTGTAGATTTTTCTTAAGAGATAATTGCTATTTCATGCCTAACAGACAATCATTAATGTAAATGTAACGTCTGTGTGCATAAAGGGTCATGACTGTCTCTCCAGCAGTGCTCTGGACCCAAGCCTGCAATATCTCCAAAGATGGGCCTGCAGTCTTGCAGAGGAGAAACCCTATGGCCAGAATATAAGTTAAAATGGAAAGTGATGTATCACCGAAGAGTTTTCCCCCTCAAAATATTTCTGAGCCCTATGCACCAGACACTGTGCTAGTTGCTGGGGATGTATCAGTAAACAGGATAAACCCTGGCCCTGCTCTCGTAGAACTTTTGAAGTTTATTGTAGAAAAAAGACAAATTAATAAGCAACTATGACCCACAGTGCTAAAAGCTATGTGGGGATGGAGGAGACCTGCAGAGGCCTTGGGAGACCTAGCCCGAGGGTGAAGGGGAGCCCAAATGGTAGAGGGGAGGCCGAGGCAGTGAGGACTCCTTGAGCTGGGCCAGTGTGACTGGAAGAATAATGCCCCCCCACCCCCAAATGTCCACATCCTACTCCCTGGAACCTGTGAATATGTTTCCTTCCATGACAAAAAGGACTTTGCCAGTGTAATTAAATGAAGACCCTTGGGACGGGAGAGTAGCCTGGATTATCTAACCAGAGGAAAACCTTTCCTGGCTATTATCAAAAAAAGAGATGTGACAGCGGAAGCAGAGTCAGAGAGATGGCAGACGGAGGAAAGGGCCATGAGCCAAGAAACGCGGAGGGCGGTAACGGCAAGCGGACTGTTCTCTCGAGTCACCAAAGAAACAGCCCTGCCAACACCTTGATTTTAGTTCATTGCACCTGTGTTGGACTTCTGACCTACAGAACTAACTTACAAGATAAGTTTGGGTTGTTTTAAGCCCTCAAATTCACGGGACTTTGTTACAATGCAATAGAAAACTAATAGCAGGAGATTCCTTGTCCAGCCAGGAAGGGTGGACAAGATTTGGAATGGAATTCAGGGGCAGGGTTATGGCTGGGGGGACACTCCGAGCAGAGTGGGTACAGGAAGAGCAGAGAGATGACACTGGGAAAATCACGAAAGGAAAGAGCAAATGGTTCAGTCCGACTCGAACCTGGGACAAGTGCATGGGAAGGGAGGGCAGCAAGACCTTGGGCAGAAGGGTCAGGAAAAGAGCCAGGGAAGGAGCTGGGGTCCCTGCTCAGGGTTCACAGACAGGCAACCTTGGCAATATCCTCTCTGCAGCAGAGGAGGCTGAACGAAGTGCTGGGAGCTTCTCCTTGCTCCCTAATTCCAGGTTTGGAGCTCAGAGACTTAGGCCAAAACCCAGCCTTTGGCCGTCCTCTCTGGAACCTGCTTTTATGCAAACAAGCCTGTTATCAGTGGGCCTTGTAAGGCCAGGCCTTGGAATCCATGCCAGAGCTGAGGGTCTGGGCTCCTCACTCCATCCCAACTCTTGGTGCTCCTGGGTAGGGACTGGACTTGTCACCACCCCCAAAGGGTGGTGACAAGTCCTCCCATAGGATGCTTAACTTCCTAATTTTTGCAATAGCAACCAAGACTCAGGGATTGTCCTACCTAAACAGAGCATAGAGCTCACGTGATAGAATTCAGAGCCTTGTAACCAGCTCTCAGGGGCAATAATCTAGAGGACAGAGGAGCCCTTGACCTGCATTTTATAGGAAGTCATCACTCTGCCCACAGATGGCAGGTCAGGGGCCCAGGGTGTCCCTGAGATGCAGTGGGCACCATCCTCAGGTACCCTGAGTGAGTGTCCTCTCTCCGACTACAGCAGGGTGTCGCAGGCACC